TTCATGTTAGATGTGATTAAACATATAAACTGTTTTATTTCATGATATAAGTGATTTAACATACAAACTGTTTTAGACACTTTATGTAACAGTCACTTGAGCCTTATATAGTGCTTCTGGTTCTAACAGGATCAAACCAGTTACAACCAGTTACATTGTAATGCTAAAATATATTTACGACTATGTGTCCGTGTTGTGAACCCGAAACTTACGTGTGGTTAAAACTATGGAGTAATGAGGAACTTGTAGTTGAAAGTCTCGTCTTACCTTGAAACCGTAACTGATTCCCAGTTGAACGCATCTGGCAGAAACTAGATAATGAGCAGATCAAGACAGCCTGTATCAGAAGACCTGTACTCCCCTATGTATGATTTATCGGAGTGGACCTCTCTATGACGTTGAATCTTGTACTTAGTCGAAGCTTTGCCACAGTCTACTGAATACGTAGCTGTGGTACTCTCTTCCCTCTTGCAAGCGAATAAACAGACAAAGACAACTTTGAATCTTCTGAAGACTTTATTATTGATTTGTGAACTCTCTTCTCCCGATTAACATAGAAAACCCTCTTCCCCTGTCCGTTAACCATGTGACAACAGAAGCTACCAGAGGAGCTTAAGGTGAGTTCCCTGGGTGAAGACTTGGCAGTGTTAGTCATAAATGGTGAGATGTTCACAATAGGCAATAGTAAAGTACAGACGATGTACATAACTATTCATACTGGGTGTTAGGGTTACATCCTACTGAGAGTGCTATAGGGTGTAGCCGTAAAAGACTTTCTGAGAGACAATAATTCCGAAATCCTAACGACTCAGCTATGGGGTGAGATAAAAGGCTGAAGGTATTCTGACACCTCCAAGAGGAACATAATCCTCGCAGGTGGGACAGCGGACGGAGTTACCACCGTGTTAGGTGCTTGTCCCGCTTTCCCCGGAGCAGGATCCGTTCACGCTGCAAAACCCTAGAAAAAGTAACCCATCTCCATCAAGGCTTTTATTTATTTTTATAATATATAATAGTCATTAGGAATCTATAACAAAATGATATCCTTTATACTACATCAACTATAAAACAAACTACTCAATTAAATGAATTATTTCCTATTTTCTTTGGTATTTTTGTTATATACTCTGTATATAACAAAAATACCCAATCAAATACCCAACAATCATCATTGCATATCTATATATGCAATGATGATTGCTGGGTATTTGATCATGTGATGAGTCAATATGATAAACGGTAGCTAGTTTAGTCGCAAGACTGACAAGCTGAGCACAAACTGAGCAAGCAGTCATGCCGTTCAAACATAAAAGTGGCAGTAAGTAGGGTCCTTCATAGCATGCACTGGGGCCAGTTGTAACACCTTTAAACACTGATGAGTAAGTGACAAATACATCTTTAAATCTCTGACAAAAGTTAGCTACAACTGCAGTCGCTCAAGTTTAGCCCTCCAACAAATTCATATATGGCAAAATCCAGTCAAGAATGATGAATAAAAATGAAAATAAAAAAGAACTTACAGACTTGTATTCTCTAAAGAGAAGGTCCTCTGGCTCCTACTGAAGAACATGTATTCTAAGTGCAGTTGTAAATGTAATTTATTGACAAGAAAAACTACCATCATTATCGCCAGTCTGTGCATCTTCTGTGTCTTCATTTTACAACATCGATATCATGCGGTGTTACACCCAGGTTTTGGTCAAACCAACAGCATACAATGATAACTCCTATACAAACATACATACATACAGTTTCTGTACAGGATATATCTATATTGATGAGTCATGTACAGCAGATCCCCATGGTGTTAGAATCAGAATAGTGGAATACAAAGAAAGGACACTTTCTGGTGGATCACAACAACTTCCTGTGGTGCACCTTGAATGGTTGGCGTGGAAATGAACATGTGGTGGAAAGTACACTAAATGAGACTGAAACAGTTTGTCTTTCTTCCAGGTTGCCATTCATTTTCATTCACTTCAGTTTGCTCCTGTATGAAACTCAAACAACTGAGACTTGGAAGTGTTACATTTGTAATCCATCTTTGTAAAGTTCTTGTCTGCTTAGATTTTGGCAAATTTCTGTTGCAGTATTGAATTATTTTATCCCATTCTGAAATGAATGGTAGTTTGGGTGTTTTGAGGTGGGGTTGTATGTACTTATTCATAGTCAGCGTGTTACCTACAGAAGACAGGAGAAGCAGAGAGGAGTACCAGCACTGGAGCAAAGTAAAGTGCTGCTGTGGACGAGTGCAGCACCAAAAGCCTTTTAGCCAATCCACCTTTTAAGAGAGCATAGGTAAGTTTCACTTTCAGGCTGTCTGCTGGCAAGATAAAGCAGTGAAAACACTCTAAATATAGCAAACACCTTAATGGATATTGATTTGTTTAGGTGGGTCTTTCTTTTTGATGTCGACCGCAGCTTATTGCTTTGCTCTTGTGTCGGTGTTCCTGCCTGTTTCTCCAAACTGGGGATGTGTTGACCGCCAACTACAGTCGGTAATACACTGACTTTGGATTAGGACCTCATACAACCCCACTTCAAACACCCAAACTATTTCTTTAAGGCAATGGCAGGTAATGGCATATTTGAAATAAATGTTTGTCCTGTATGAAGGCTTCATTTGATACAGGTTTTGCAGACCAAATATAGATGTCAAGATGTTAGTTTTGCCCTGCATTGTTTGTATTCTTTCTAGACTACAAACATAGCAAAATCATTGGAGAAATACTTAGCTACTATAAATACTGCTAGTACTAACGCAAGCTACAATAATACATTTGTGCAAAATCTCAGCAAAATGTTTGATTACATCATCTCAAATTAATGTCCTCCCGTAGAAAATGTAATCAGTTCTACAGTAAATATGAAGTCAATCAAAGAGCATTGAAGCACAATGACTGACTGAGGAACAGTACCAGCCCCGTATTGCAGATACACCTTGGCCGAATATCTCTCTTGAGTCCCAGTAACATTATTTAACATGACTACTCATCTGGATGAGATTGAATGTATGGATCTAAATCGTATGATCAGAGACATCAGAAGTCAACAGTTCAGCAGTCGTCACTACACCAGAACAAACAGGCACTATTCTCTGAAGACAAAACATTTCAGGCTTCATTTCCATTGACTTTACATTCTCAAATCTGTTTACCAAATTGTTCAACTGCTTGTACAGATGCATTCCGACTGGCTCCAAATTTTCACAACCTGGATCTTAAAGCTGCATTAATTGATTTGCAGGCTACTTGAGGCAGCGGGACAAGCTGAAAGCATAAAAGCTGTAATGTCTAGCTTGTTAGCAAATCTTTGTCTCTTTACATATCTGGCAGACACTGAATAATATTATTGTTATTTTGAGTCAATGCTCAGATGGCCTGAGAAAAGTAAATCCAATGTTCACTTTTTGTTAGCTCTATTTTGGTCTCCATCAGCCCATGAGAAACGCTCCGTCTCTTTAGCTGCTATGTGCTCCACTGTGTTCACCAGCTAGTTGCCAACTTTCAGTGCACAGTGGGTTAATCAGAGCCTTTTAGCTCAAATAGCTTCTTGCTGCTCTTAGATGACAGGTTGGTAGGGGTGTAGTTTACATGCTGGAAAAGCAAAACAATGAGCTAAAAGAGGCTCTTCATAGAGCTGAGCTTCACTGCGTTGTTGGATAAAAAGTCTCTGGTTCATCACTGTGTGCGTCTCCTTTTACATTGCACATCGTCATTTGATCCAACATGTTGATCGGTGCAGCTTTGAGCCTGGAGCTAGTCTGAAAAACAAGGGGGAACTGTATGGACATTAACTCCCCTTGCTTAGATAACAAGTCAGATTATGGGTTTGTGCCAAAAAGCCAAGTTCAGTATTTCCTTTTAAATACATCCCATTCAAAATAAAAGAGGAAACAAATTCTATGTCTAATGAGAAATAAGTGTTTCCAAGCTGACTTGACCACAACTTGGTCCTAGATTTGAGCAGGCAATGCAAAAGAAGTCTGAGCTGAAAGTAACACGGACAGACATGGACACGACTGCACAGTGATCCACTTTCTCACCAGTCAGTTCTTTTGCACATATACTAAATTGCACAGCGTCATTTGGGCCTTGTTATTACAAAGAGAGGACATTTGATTGCTCAACTAGAGAAATGCTGCAGGTGTTTGTAGTTGAAACCACATTTGGTAAAAAAGAAACATCAAGCAGCAAAAAGAGAAATTAGGCACCTTAACATCTCCAAAGGTCTCCAACAGTAGATTGTCTAGTTAGGGGGTTGTAAGATACAGAATAAGTCTAATATATTTTTGAAAACATTAGTTTGTCCTCATTGGTGCAGAGAAACAAGCAGGTCCATTCGTTTTTTGTATGTTCCTTCAAATTGTTGTATGAAGCTGATTTCACACAGAAGATTTACCGTCTTTTCATAAACATGCAGTCTTGCTTTGTTTCTTTGATCGTCAAGTGTGTGTTTGTGGTAACATTGCTGCCTTCCACACAATTGAACCTGGGTTTGATTCCAGGCCAGTGTATGCAGCGACATCTGTAAACCCAAACACCTGAAGATGGGTTCACTTCATTTGACACTGCGTTAAAGCTGCAATAACTGTGACTGGAATTCTAGTTTGTTTACCCAAGTGAACAGAATACTCATGATCACTAACATTGCTGATTTATGCATACTCAACATTAGAAACAGATATATTACATGCAAATCTGACATAACTTGCTAGGTTTTGCTACTTTTCATTCTACTTAAATTATTACATAACATAATTGGAAAGTAAGACTTCTACGTTTTCCTTTTAGTCAACATTATGGTCCTACTTTTACATCGATATTCCCAAGTTTAGAGACTGGAATTAAAAAGGTTTGAGTGCTTAATGTTTAACCACATGTGACCGTACAAACCAGTCACTCGAGCTAAGAATGGGCTATGACGTTGGTCATATGTACACAAACTAGAACTCAAGCTACAGATATAGACCCTTTTCACTCAGGTGCATTCATCATACCGAGATTAAAGAACCTTTTTTGAATTGATTCGTGTTTTTTCATTTCATTGACTAATCAGTTCATGAAATGTCAGAAATGATGGCAAAGTTTCATTATAACAGCTTAAGGTGATGTCTTCAAATTGTTTATTATGTCTGACCAACAGTGCAAAAACACAAACATATTCAATATCCATTACATGATATTTTAGAAGCTGGAAACAACAAAAGATAGCATTTTCATCAGCCACACTATCGTGAGCTTTTACACATGTTGGCCCGACATTCTTTCCAGACTAAAATATCCGAACGATTATTCTAACAGCTGTGGTGATCTCCTGGCCTTTCATCTAGTTTGGTTTATGGCCAAACAACCTGCAAACTGATGACATTACCATCAGCCTCAGCTGAACTTTGTGTTTAACAGATGTTAGTGGCTGACATGATAAACATTGTCATTGTGCATATGTTAGCATGCTGAAATGAGCATTTACAGTAGCTTAAAGCACTGCTGTGCATAAACACAACCTCACTAAGCTGCTAACACGGCTGCTGACTCTTGTTTTTTGATACATGAATTAAATGGTTAATCAATTACCAAAACTGTCACTATTCATTATCATACATTTCAGCAAGTTAAGAAATGTACAACATAAAGATTCTGTCATTAAATGAACTCCATAGTCCTGAAGGCTGTCGATATGGTTTTACATCCAATATCTACATGTAGTCACGTGACCCATAAAATATATCAATATCACATATTTGTATTTAGGTAGGGTTTATGTCACATCTGTTCTCAGTGGATGGAACATCTCATGTGATCCAATCCATCCATAGAGCTATTTATATTGTGACATGGCTAAAGTAAGGACAAGCTCGCTGTATCACTGGATGCAGGGAAGAAGAGAAATCCCCCATGCAAGTACTCTGACAAAGACATATGAGTGGTCCAGTTTGCTGTGTAAGACCAAGCTTACATGCACATAGTGAGTATTCAATACATAATGTGGATGGGGGAGAGGTGTTACTCAATGAAGATGTCTTCAGTGGGACAGGAGTAGCCAATGTTCTCCTTGTAATACTGCTGGAATGCCCTCCTGTGGGACACCAAAGGAGAGAATAAAGGAAATGACAGAAGAGATGAGCACACATCTGTTGTGTTGTATCGTCTAACACTCTCACTGGGTACAGAGCAAGATAGAACTACTGGCCTGACTGACATTATAGATATGATTAGAATATATATCATCATTATAGATATGATTATAATATATAACATCATTATAGATATGATTAGAATATATATCATCATTATAGATATGATTATAATATATAACATCATTATAGATATGATTAGAATATATAACATCATTATAGATATGATTGTATCGATAATGAATATAACTATTTTTGTCATTAAAAGTATTTAGATCCTTCACTTAAAGTCACAAAAAGGAACTTTCATTTTGTGATGATTTCGTAGGTCCCTGTGGGAGGAAGTGGTGGTGTTCCCGAGCACCAGATTCCCTTTAGAAAACCTCTGATTTAACTGCAGCAGCCTGGTCGGTCCTGGTTCTCCAGCAGCCTGGTGTCGGACTGTTTGCTCCGCTCAGTCAGCCCAGTATCATGGCAGGTGAAATAGTCACGAACACAGGACTGTCACCTTCGAGTCCGGTGTTCGACACCACGTTGTGGAGTTATGGTCGTAGTTTTGTTGCCTCAACCTAACCTCTGTTTAAACAAGTCGTTCCAAACCATCTCCAGCAGCGTGGCGTTGTTGTTTGCTACCAGTAGGAACCAACTGTTGCATAACCAGTTGTCACAGGTCAACTCCACTCCCTCCTCATCAGTCTAAAGTCCCTTCACCTGTTCACTCACCTGCCTCTGATCAGTAATCAAGCCCCTCTATAGACTCCTGCCTCCCAGACACACATTGCCAGAGTGTTCTTCGGTTTTCGATACCAGACTCTCCAGCACGCTCTCAGGACTGATCTCCTGTTACCGACCCTGCCTGCCCCTCTTCTACCCGCCTTGCCTGACTGCCGGTAAACCCAACAGCCTTCTGATCCTGACCCTGTTTAAACTCTGCCTGCTGTTTCTGGAAGTTTGTAATAAAAGGCCAAAGATCCCTGGAATCTTGTGTGTTGGATTTGGGTCCCTATACAACCGGTTACACCAGTAAAAGTTCCTCACAATAACTTTAAGTAAAAGAAGCAAAAGCCCAATGTCGAAATATTCCTTTATATACCTGCATTTGACTTTTTAGTAGCAAAGTAATACAAAGTAGTACTTGTTATGCAGAGTTGTACGTTGTTAAAACATATTATCTGCTCATTGTTATAATATCTTAATAAGCGAAGTAACGAGTAACTGTTGCTTTTAAATAAATGTAACCTAGGGGAGTACATCAAGTATGCTGGAGCCAGTACAACATTTCCCTGTGTAATGAAGTAGAAATATAAAGTAGCATAAACTAGAGATACTCAAATGAAGGTCCAGTACTTTATGTACCTTTCGGAGTACTTTCCAATGCTGGCCCTGAGCAGATATGTATATCCAACAGTAAAAGTCAGAAACTATGTATACAACAGGATAACAGCGAATACAGTATACAATACAATAGGTCTTACCCTACAGACTCGGCCAGAGGATGTGATGTTGTCTCTGACATCATCACGTGACAGGCAAAGCGCTGTTGGTCAGGGTGTTTGGTGATGATACCAAAATACCTGCAGTGGAATGATCAGCATTACTGTTCAGAGGTTGACTTACACTTATTTGTTGAGGCAAATCTGCTCATGCAAGTGTAGGAATCGATGAGATCAAGTGGTCCGACTCACTTGCTGTGTTTTGGATGACAGCCACAGAATGAGATGTTTTTCAACTGGAAGAAGTGGAAACACTGGTCCCCCTGAGAGACAAACACACACACACTGAGACGTAAACCTTTGAATGTTTTATGTTCGAAGTGTTCTATCTGGGATATTTATCCAAATTGTCAGAGTAGACATCAATATTACCTTTTTTGAGTAGCAGTTGTAGTTACTGCTGATCGCCACTATAGAGCGCTACAGCTAACTACAGCAAAGTAACTTATTGCCAACATCATAATTACCTGCAGCAGGTGACTGGATTTAAAAAGGTATTAAGCTTAAGAAGGTAGGTAGGTAGTGCACGTACCCTATGTGCAGAGTTACACTGGTCTTGGACACTGATCTTCACACCCTTCACACTAACCTCCAGCACACAGGCTGAGGGACGCTGACCTGCTGACCGCCTGTTACACGCCACCTGTAAACACAAATAATCAGTCAATCCGTCAATAAACATAGCTGAGGAGCCTTGACTCTCAGCAGCACAGTCTGGTATATTCTAGATGGATCAGTAGTGTTAGGCCAGTCTTAGGGTCATTATCATGTGACCATGATGTTTATGGTTGTGGCGGCCGCACTCAAAGGCAGATTAAAATGCTGGCTCATAGGGAGAGTTAAGACTGAAATACGCAGGGAGCTGTCAACATTCTCAGACACTTTCTCCAGAAAGACATTCAAAGGGTTCACATGAAGCGTCAGAAATATATTTGTGACCTCCGCACAGCTGAACAATCACGGCGTGACTAACCCTAACCCAAATAAAGTCTCCTGAGCCCAGCAGCAGTACTGAGCCCTGTGACAGCACCTCAGCCGGCAGCTCAACAGCCACTGGAAGTTTGTATTGTTCCTCTCTGTGCTGAATATAGAAAGAGATGAATTATTCCCCTACTCATTATTCAGAACTCCTACTTGTGTTGCAACAATGAGAAATCAATACAATTATTTGACTCTTTTTTCACAACGAGGGCAAACCTGCTGCACAGTAAAAGTACAATGTAAGACATGAGGTGACAGGAAAGAACGCGTCTCTTTACAAAGTAAGCCTGGAGCTTCAGTGTGCTCTAATGTTCTTGGTAAAGAGTTGGAGCCAGTGAAGTAAACACAATGATTACAGCTGCAACAGGCACAGCGTTCCACATTTATAACACACTGAATTTAAATCAGTTAAAGGGTCAATTCACCCAAATCTCACATAGTTTTGGTTTTATTTGTCTTGGCTTTGAGATTTCTACCCTCTGCAATAGGTTGAGACAGAGACGAATGAAATTTCACACTTAAAGTTTTCATTTGGTTCATTGGCCCACCTAGGCCCACCTGTGGCTACACATGTAGAATCAGGCTTTGTAAGGCAGATAGGTGGGAGGGTTGGGCAGAGTTCCCCGGTAGCTCTCGGCTAACGCAGTGAGCTTCCATGCTCGTCGTCTTGTCAGTTTGGTAGTTTTCGGTTGTCCTGTTCAACGTATCCTCATACAATGGTTCGTATTGTAAATCCCCCCACTGCGGGACTAATAAAGGATTATCTTATCTTATCTTATGATATCTTACAAAAAGTCATTCCTCATTTTTCATGCATTTTCCAAGAATGTCCAGCAACTCATGTAAATTGAAGCTGGTTACTGCTGACAGTCTTTTCAATACAAACGTCCGTCTTCACAGGATACAACTTTGTTAGGTTTAGGCAACATTGTGGTTTGTGTTAAAATGACTAGTACGGAAGTTACATGACTAATAACTCAGCGTTTGGATTAAAATAACTACGTGACAAATAAATCAATATTGTGACTTCTGGTTACAGGGACAAGAACCGCAGTCTACCCTACAAACATCTGCTGTTTTACCCATCTGTCCACCCTGACCTCCTCCCCACACACTGTTTGTCACTCTTAATACATCCCTTTTTGTGATTACATGGAATAAATACAAATTGATTTTGTGAGATATATACAAATTACATTTATTTTCGTAGGTATAGCTACAAATGGTAAATGAGAACATGTCCTGTCAGGATGTAGCGTTTACTTTATAAAATACATTTGTACCAAGCGATACTTACTTGACAAATGGTTCAAATTTGTGGGGAAAGTTGATCCATTTTCAGGAGCTATGTCTCTGAAGCCCGCTCGCTAAATGCTCAACCTGGAAGTTAACTACCATAGTTGATCACTCCAACACTGATGATCAGATTGAATGGTTAGCTTCTGTTGTTCAGTGTCTGTATGTACCTTCTGCATTGCAGCACAGAGCATGTCGTTGCCTTTGTGGATTGGGACCTGAACTGAACCCAGAAATTGCACCAGGAACTGGTCTATCCAGCCATCTTTCTGGACTGCGACAACAAAGGAGAAAAAATAAACTATAATTATGAGGTGTTGTTGATGGTAGTGCTATTCTATTTTTTCATTACAGTTTTTTGCAGTGTACCTTGGTTAATATCTTTGGCCAGCCTGACAGCGTAGAAAGCAGGGAAGATGCCAGTAGCTCCAGTCCTCATGTTGTAACCCTGACACCACAGGTCCTCAGACTGGTTCAGCATTAACACCGGATCATCTGATTCTAGGTACAGCTCGTCTGCATGACGAGGGACAAACCTAAAAAATGTACAGATTATTATCTTATGGGTTTATTTGGAAATGTCACAATTAGCTTGTGTGTGTTCATATGTTTTGACCTGTAGACAGCTCTGTGGCTCTGCTGTCTCTCCACTCCATCCAAAACACAGGAGAACACACCAAATGACCCAGCACCTGAATGATACAGCATTTATGTTATACTCAAAATCGTATCATCACAAACACAACAGCAAGTGATCCAATCTTGGCACTTACTGAGGAATGGAGAGTTCAAATGGCCACCACCATGAGAACGCTTAGAGCTTCTATGAGTTGGAATTGGAAGTTATTGACCTTGACTACTCCTGGTAGCAGTATGAAAAGAGATACCAAGGTACGCCACTACTCCCGCCCCTTCAACTCGGAGACCCTCAAAGTCAATAACAAATGTACTGTATGTAAAAGCACATTTAAAAACAATCTACGTTTGAGAAGTGCACAGACCAGAACAGGTAGATTAAAATCATAAGTAAAAAAATACCGACATAACCATCAATGCACACAACTCAAAGGCACAAATAAAAAACACACGACACAAGTCAAAAATCAGCCACATCAGGAGGAATCAAACGCTAGTGAATAAAAGTGTGTTTTGAGACTGGACTTGAATTTATCAGGATACATCCCCACTACTACCTTTCTCATTTTAACACACATCTTTTGCTATGTTTACACCTAGTGCACACTCCACACCGCCGTTTTAGATCCCCTAAATGGAGACATTTAAAAACACGGCTGACGCCATTTTGGCTTAAAAATGTCAGGGTTGTATTTGAGTCTGGACGGGCAGAAACGTAGACCTTTGAAAACAATGATGCAGACTCCCACGTTCACTACTTGATTGGGTTTTAGCAGTCATAACATGTCCTTCCCTGATTTGTCCCCTTGATTACCCAGCAGCTAGTGGTGATTCAACATGGATAAGGAATTACAGGTATTGCTGACTGTATTGTTTGTTATACTAGCAGCTGTTGTGCAGTTATATTATGCATTTTATAATACTACTACTGCGTACATGTGCAAGAGTCAAGCTTTTATTTGAGTGCTTTGCGAGAAGCGTGTCCAGGGACGTGATCAGCCTTACGGAGCGGACGTTTGAAGGCACCGTTCCCTACTTTTAGGAGGGCTGATGCTTAATTTTATACAACTATTGTGAAGCTCACAAAGAAACTGTAAATGACCAAAAGTATCAATTAAAACTGTTAAAATGAAAACGTACGAGTGTGGTTGTCGCATCAATGGAAGCAACAGATCTAATGCTGTCTCACAGTCTAGGGACTGAAACAGCAGCGGAGTGGTCACCCATGTGCTTAAGTTTGACTTGCGGGAGAACCAGTAGCCCCAAGTCAGCTGATCTGAGGGACCTCAAAGGAGAATGAGAGCTTAGGTATTGTGTAATACAAGAGAGGGCCAGCCCATAAAGAGGCATTTATAGACAAACAGGAGAACCTTCAAATAAATTCTGAACCATACTGGCAGCCAGTAGATAGAGGCCAGAATATGGGTGATATGGTCCCTCTTCCGGGTACCTGTGAGGAGCCAGGCTGCAGCGTTCTGGACCAGTTTCAGGCAGGACAGGAACTACTGACTAATCCCAGTATAAAGGGAGTTGCAGTAGTGCCACTGGGCTGGATGTAAAGGCTTGAGAATGTCATCCAAGCCTTTACATCCCCAGAAGCATGTAGTAGTATTGGAAATACAATAATGATTCCTGAGACTTTTTGTGGAACTTTACTGAATTAAGCAGAACTAACATGGCAATGCGGTGGACATTTTCACAGTAGTTACTTCCTACAGTGATGCTCATAAGGACTGGTGTATTGCTATATTTGTTTCTCAGTTCTTCTGTAAAATATTTAATCGTATTTGGAATATTTCACTTTATAGTATTCTATTCTATTTCTTTAACAGTTTTGTTATTGGTTTCAGGGACAAACTAATTTAATTTCAGGTCCTGTGCATGATTGTGTATGTGACCAATAAATGTAATTTGATATGATATGATATGAATTTGTGAAAAACAGCGACATACAAAAGACAAAAAGTTTGTCGGCTGGAAGCAAAACAAAATGTCATTTCATTGTGATTATCAGGCTTCACCTGAACCTCACTGCCTCCAATTAATGAACTGCCAATGTGTGTAAAGTCAGTTTTTTGACAGTAACAATGTAAGCTTCAACATACTCAATCAGCAGAAATATGCATTGATGTGATGAATAAAGTGAACTTCCACCATTATATAAACCCTTTCAAGACTATATCACGTATAGTATCAGTGAATATACTTATAACCCTAATAAACGTATTCCTCTCTCTGTACAATATCAAATCACAGAAAAGAGAGCTGTGATGCAGACAATCTAAAAACCCTAGTCACATATTTTTGCCTGATTATTCATTTCTAAAATATTTTTGCTTCAAACTAAATATTGAGATAATATACAAACCTGTGGTGCTGTAATGACTGCTGTTGTTGGAAAACAGGTTGAGGAACTTCTTACTTCTGGAAGCTGCTGGTCTTCCTCCATTAGACTCTTCTTCCTCTGAAGTTGTGGTTGATGTTACCTTGGACGGCTTGCAGATCTTTGCCACAACTTCCCTCCTCCTTTTCACCTCTTCCTCCCTCTTCCTCTTCAAATCCTCTTCCCTCCTTCTCTTCATCTCGTCCTCCTTTCTTCGGTTTTCTTCCTCGTTCCTTCTGTCTTGGAACCAAAAACAAGGAAAAGTTAAACCACTAGCAGCAATTAGCAGGAACAAAGGAACCATGCAAACAGACAGTGTATTCTTGATTTCAACTTCAGACAATCTTCTGTTCTGAAGCTGCACATGCAGTATCATCTAGTGAGGTGCTCCACAAGGCTTAGTATTGGGTCCTCTGCTCTTCAAGTAAATCACTGTGCCTTATTGGACAAATAAACAAAAGAAGTGAAAGCACGAGCTGAGCTAGCTAGTGCTTTCGCCTACTAGTCTGTCCAAACATACTTGGCCAATAAAGCTTATTCTATTATAATTTACTAAACTACAGAATAATCCTTTTAAACAGTGATATTTTTTTAAATCCTCAACTTTGCAGTGTGAGTGCACCCCGTCTAGTAATGTTACAGAAATATTATCCTTTAATTAGATTAACAGACTGAAATGAAGATGAAGTTACTGTATGAAAGGGGCATGTTTTTCTTTTAGTTTTGGTTATTAAAGACAGTATTCTCTGTCAGTCACTAAGTCTGTCCCTCGTTCCAACTCTTGCGTAACGCCACGACCATTCCTTTAACTCAACTTCATTAATCATCGATATTATATAAGGAATAATGTACAGCGATCATTATTATTATTATCTTTGAAAAGAAACATGACTTGAATCATCCTGAAGGGCTTCATTTCCAAATGTATTTCATTTAATTAATATGAATTAATTATTTGCTGTACATTACATGGATACTTACAAAATAAATCAATAATTTCAGTCAAAACATTGTTTAAAAAAATATTGCTTTAAAAATGATTGTATTGCTTCCACTAAAATAAATAGTTTACATCAACCCCTTCTCACTCACAAAGCGTCAAATAACACATCGGCGTATGACACCGATGCTCATTTAGCGTTTGAAGGAGACACACCCGCCTGCAGAATTAAAGGAAGAGCAACTGGCATTGTATAACGTGAAGGGGAGGTGGATGGGTCGGGGGAAAAAAGGGCTTTCGTCCAGGAGCCCACTGCTCATGTCCTGAGTGAAACTTAAAGTAAAGGTTTTGTCATGTCAATCGTTAGTCACGTGAGCCGTAACGTCTTTAGTTAAGCACCATCAGGTGTAAACTTAGTTTGTACACAAGATGTCTTCAACCTAACGGGCAGATAAAAATGGAATTTACTGAGGTTATTCATGCTCCCAAAGGGACAAACCTTTACATTTCATGAACTTTAATGAACTGTTTGGGACAGAAGAGAGCTCAGCCATGTCAAAAAAAACAATCTGTACCTTGCTTCCTTGCTTCCTCTCTCCTCTTCCTTTCCTCCTCATACTCTGGATCTTCCTCCTCATTGGCTGACTGATAGACCGTCTCTGCATCACTGTCATCATTGTGCTCATTGTAACTGTGCAAGCAGTCCTTGAGGCTGACCAGCTCTAATTGAGCGTGCTCATCGACTACCAGAGTGTATTTCACAGAGTCATAGTTTAACAGTGCCATAGCTTCACTCTGTGGTACAATCTGAGCAGCAGCACCATCTCCCTGAGTGACAGAGTTGGTGCCATCCATCTCAGTGTTATAGTCACCTTTTCCTCCCCTTGCTTCCACCTCTGACTTGGTACAGTCCATCTCTGTTTTTTCATTATCTGTAAGGCAGGGGGTTGGACCAATCTGGACGTTTAGGCAGGGAGTTGGATCTCCCTCTCCCTCTTCTTCACTGATGTCAGGGTCGATTCGGTGGAATAGAGAAGGATGCAGAGGCCCTGGTGGGGGTCCCTCTGTATCTGAGCTGAGGGACATTCTGTTTGACCCCCCCTCGCTGCTGGACCGGGAGAGGATAGGGGGGTTGTCTTGAGTCCTGTCATGGTTTTGGCCTTAAAACACACAATATGTTAGATATAAAGAGATTAGATGTAAGGAGGAACTTGTGAGCTGCTTGCAAACAAAATGGGAATCAAATATGGACAAAATGATGTATGAACCAGAGATATGATTAGATAGATTAGATGTACCTTCCCTTGAAAAGTCATGTTGTGGCATGATACAGATATTGAAAAGAGCAAACTAGTACTTTTAGCAGAATGAAGCCAGACATTTCACAGCACTAATCTTTATCACTAAGTATAAAAGTTACAACACTCACCACCCTGTGCTAAAGGTAGGTTCATTACCTTGGTCTTGTGTCTTGTCCTCGGTTCTTGGTGCTACAGGCGTGCGTGGGACCACCATGGATGTCAGATAAACTTCCTGGTTAGACAGTATGTCATTGGGCTTCAATACCCCGACTTTGTTTACCCCTTTAGCAGCTACTTTTACTTTCCCATCAGCCCCCCGGCCTTTCAGTCCATTTGTTTCTCTTGGCCTCTGAGGTCCATTTCTCTCTTTCTCCTTCCCCCTGGACTGCTCACACAGTCTTCCTCCTCTCCTATCTTCCTTCCCCGCTGTCCCTCCATCCTTTCCTCTGATGTCTCCTAAGCTCCTCTCTCTCATTGCTGGGGCTCCTCTTCCTCCTCTCTTTTGACTCCTTGGTGTGCTGGAGGACTGTGTGTGTGTGGCGCCTGAAACCTGTCTTTCCCGCAGTCGAGCTCGCGTGTCTACAGTGGTGGCAGCAGCCTGAGAGTTAGCTTTGCTGTTCACTCCGTTGGCTGTGGGTGCTTTTGGGGCCGGGCGGCGCGTTCTGTGCTGAACTTTGTCCTCCGCTTTTGGCTGGATATCCGGTGGTGCTAGATCCCCTTAAGACACACACAGAAAAAAAACAAAGGTATTAGATTCTTTATTAGGCAATCAGTTGTACACAAAGGGATTATCAAAGTAGCATACAGTCGGCAGTTTATCCTGGATAAATAGGAATTACAGGAACTGAAAAAAAATGTACATGAATCATTTAAAATATTTTCTCCTTCATTCTCGAGGATAGATAGATAGCCTGAAATCCATCCAAATTCTAGCTTTGACCAAAGAGATTAAAACAGGAGCTTCAACCATGTAAAATCTTCCACTGTAAATCACCAGTCCTCTGTTTAATAGGAGGTTCATCCTTTTGCTGTGTACAGGTCCACAAGTTTATGTTTGTTCTACTTAATGAGGGTTCTGAAAACCCTGCCACATCTAGAAGAAAACCAAGCTCTGAGAAAGGATCAGTCGCATCATGAGTTTCCCCTCCTCTGCCGTGTGTCTTAGAGCAGCATCTTAACCTCCTCCTCAGTCAGTCTATCAGCCCACCTGCTCAGGATATACGAGCTCTGCCAAAAGGAGATCAGTCCAAGAAGAGAGGCCATAGCTGTGAGTCTATAAATCCAGGACCAGCTACATCCACCACTTTCCTCAGGGTGATAAATCCAGGTGCATAGCATGCTGGTGTATCACCAGCATGCTATGCACCTGGTGCATGGTGTTGTATTGTCCTGGATGTCCATTCTGGCTCCATTAACGAGAGGTTCTTCTAGTAACCAGTGCAGCGAGCAAGTAGGTTCCAGTCTCTTTCATTTAAAAAAGTTCCACACCGTAAAAGGTGCCTAATGAAAAGGAGGTAATCCACACAGATTTAAAAGATCAAAATCCATTAAAAGAGTTCAGTGTCTACTCCCAGACCAGCTGCCTTCCTTAAAATACAGTTTGTTACGTCTCTCCACACCACATCTGTTGGACCTGTGAGATAGCTCTAACTGGAACCTGAAAGTTCCAGACACTGCCCCCCTGTTTTCTCTTGGTAAAAACAGTACAGTTTTAGGGACCCAATGCAGTCTATCCCAGAAGAGGTCCACTGAGGCCATGTCCACACATTTCCATTTTAAAATGCACATATTTTGCGTCTTAGCGTCCACACTAGGCTGGAGTTTTAGAGCAACAGAAAAGTATAAGTTTGGAAACGCTTCCAAGGACAGATACGTTTGAAAGCTACGGGGTTACCTCCTAGTGTGGACGGGCGTAAACGCATAAGTTTGGAAACGATGACGTAGACAACACATAAACCTATACTTGTTCATCTATATTTTGATTACGGATCAAATTATTCATGGCAACAGAGCTTTAAATGTCAATTCTTTGAAAATATCTAATTCTGCAAGAGTTTAACTCTATCTGAAGCAGGGAGATGAAGTTGGAATTGACATTGTTACTTTGTTTTGGTTGGTTGTTTTTCAGTGTCATTTAGTGTCCATACCTGTAATATGTGGGGAGGAGGAACAGGAGTCTTTCCAGCTGTCCTTCTTGCCTAAAGAGTTGTTGTTGATGGAGTCCTGGATAGAGTTAGTGAAACAGAGCAGCAATGTAGGAGCAAAAACCAACACATGATTGGGTTATCACACACACACACACACACACACACACACACACACACACACACGGTTTAGCCTGAGGTGTTAATCCATAACTCTTGTCTGCTTACTGTAGTCTATCTGAGAGGATTATAGATACAAAATGTGATATACAGTACATGGAGCAGCAGGGATCTGCTCGATAACTACGATTTCACCAGAAAAAGACTTTATACACTAAATTAGACATTACATTATATGCTATACATTAGTGTTTCACTATGGCTGTTGGCAAAGAGGGTATTAATGTCAACACCTATTAATACATTATGTTTCTTCTTATGTTTCTGTTCCTGTTTCATTTATTTGCTGCATCTATTAATCGATCTGTCTGTCTGTCTGTCTATCTTTCTATTTGTCTGTCTATCTTTCTATTTGTCTGTCTGTCTGTCTGTCCCTCTTTTTTTGTCAGAAAGAGGAAGGGGCAGTGACTAGGCTGCATCATATCAACGTTGACATCATGGAATGCTGACTCACTTACTGACATCACATCATGCAACTTCTTTCCCTCATGCACACCCCATTAAGTTACTATGGTTACTGTGTGTGTGTGTGTGTGTGTGTGTGTGTGTGTGTGTGTGTGTGTGTGAGTGTGAGAGAGAGAGAGAGAGAGAGGGGGAGATGGAGAGAGACAGTGGCAGAATCAATCATCTCTGTCTGTGTTAGGCACAGCCCTCTCCATGATGACATCCTCTTTCAGACTGATGCTACAGAGTATGTGGTGATTTCAATGTGCAGACAGAAATCTGATGAAAACAGTTTTAACATCAACAATCGTCTCATTGCCATTTGTCATTTTCTGATGCAAAGAAATACAGTAGCTATGGTACTGTAAGAGTGCAGTTGAGAGACTTTAAAGAATCCGCCTTTTGGTTAATTTACCCGTTAGAACCATCACAGTGAAGCCAACCCTTTCTGGTCAATAAAAACATGTTTTCATCCCAAAAGTCTAATGACATCAGCAGATTGTTTCATACACTGAATTCACAAAAAGATTACCTGATTTTGCATCCGCAAAACCTATCATGTTTAATTCTCAAAGCACTGTCAGAGTTTGACTTGATATGGTAAGCCAGCACTAGAAGAAGAAGAAGAAGAAGAAGAGTAAGCCCTTATTAGTCCCACAGTGGGAAATGTATTCTCTGCATTTATTCCCTAGTTTATAGGGAGCAGTGGGCTGCTGAGAAGTGCCTGGGGAGCAGTTAGGGGTTCAGTGTCTTGCTCAGGGACACTTCGCCACAGGACACGTGGTAGCCAAGGATCCAACCTTGCGGTTAGTGGACGACCCTCTCCACCTCATGAGCCACGGTTGCTCCAATGTCAAATATATTCAATGTTTTTAAGTACACATATATGAGACCAATGTATCACAACTAGTATTAATAGTATGAGTGAAACTATTTAACATATAACCTGTTTGACTTGATGTAAAGCTTGAGAAGAATTAAAGCTTTTTAAAAAATGAGCCTTGGAGGACGCTGCACCTGCTGGTGTAATACGGTTAAGAGAAGAATGGAATATGCCTGAGGGGAAAACTCAGATGTCAATGGAACATACTTAAAGGGGAAAGTTCATGAATTTCCATGTCATTTCCATGTCATTGCCATTTCCATTACCATAGAAATTACACCATTATCTCCAAGGCAACAGAGGAGTTTAAGGATAAAGGTGGAACATTGGCCCCAGACAGAGGAACTATATAAGACAGTGTTAAGAGCAGAATACTCAATTGGACTCCGAAAGCTACCTCGGGTTTATACTTTGCTCAAAGAATAAACTCTATTGCATTGAACTCTGACGGTTTCCAGTGATTTATTCAAACATCTTTGGGAAACCAATAGCTGCAAATTGCAGAATGTGAAAAAATGTGTATAAACTAAAGTCCCTTCATGAGGCAGAGTTGGATGTAAGTATATGTTTAATATATGTCTAACATAGTATGTCCTGGTTTGGTGCTTGTCTTGTGTTCTTTGGAGGAAAACAAGCCTCTAAGCAAGGAAAGCCATAAGAAGGATTATTAACGAGTGATATATAGTGTGCTAATGAGAACAGTGGGCATATCTGCTAGCTATGAAGACACATTATACATTAGAATAGTGGTATATTTGGTAAAAGGTGTGTAGTACATTTGTGAGATCATCATAAATGTAAGAGAAAAAACTGCAGGAAAGTTTTAAAGCTGGGAAGAGCCTTTTAAGTAGGGAGGTGAGTTAATACCGAATATTGTGCGCATTGTTAAGAGGCTTTCGGGCCAGCGACAGAAAAATGATTGCATGTGTCACTAAGGGAACTGCGGGATGGTTATTGCTCCCATGGGGCCTTCGGGATGGCGAAATAGGAAATTTTGCGTGTTTTGCTAAGGGGCCTATGGGACAGCGACAGGTGCAAAGGGCCTGCGAGATGGCAACATTTAAAAATCAGGCGGTGACAGTCGCTAAGGGTTACAACGGGAGGACAACACTGGCCGGAGAAGTGTAAATAGTACATGTAAATAGTACATAGTATATATAATGCATCAGCCAGCCGACAGAGATACAGTAGCAGGAAAAGTCCAATAGTGGTGCCGAGAAATATGAGGAAAACAAGTAAACTGCTAAGGTAATGTGATTTTGGAGATGATCCAGAATGCGGCCCAAGCGAAAGAGAGCGTACAGCATTGTAAAATAAAAAAGAAAAGTATGGGGGAAGTGGATTGCAACCAAAAGGAAGGAAAGCACACAGTTTCAGGAAGAGGTTAACAACATCAAGAAAAATAAGGGAAGTGGATTCAGACCTCCTGCTGCCATTAAGGCACTGTGACAGAATATCTATACCGTGAGAAAAGGCAAAGAGTAAAGGTCATCAAAGGAAGGCTAGACAAATTAAGAGTACGTACGATACAGCAGACGGAGAATGCATCAATTCTAGTGGCCAACAAAGGCATGACATGCTTGTTTTCCTCCAAAGAACACAAGACAAGCACCAAGACAGTAGGCTTCTCTGGGAAACACAAATAACACAGACGGTCCCAATGCTGATTGCAGGTAAAACCATAGTTACACCTCTACTCTACTCAGCCAACACCCCCAGCAATTTACTGGGAAGAGACATTTAGTGTCCCCTCAAAGCAAAAATGATGTGCACACAAAATGGCCTATTCGTAGACTTCCCCGAAAACCAACCGCTAGGAATGATGCCAGTAAAAATACAACAAGAAACTGCCAAATAAAAACAACCCGCTGTATATTGGCTCTGAGTGATGCCATACAGGACAGAAACACGTTGAAACTGTGGGTGCAGGCACAGGTCCCACAACTCCCACTTCACTGTACTCTCCTGCATGATGAACAACAGCAGCATAAAGACTATGACAATTGTTGGGAAGAGTTGCTAACTAGAAAACCATACAACCTGGTCAGCCAAGACTTGTAGACCCACAAGGAGTGGATGTGGCAGTAACCCTACCATCTGAACTGAAAGACTGGTTTCAAGTCAATGACTCCACCCCAGACGTTCCAAGTACTATGCGGTCAAAACAGCCCCTCTGCCAACCATCGTGGGCAGCAGGACAAGCACACAGTTTAACCCAGCTGCACTAGACCGAGGAAGCAGAACAACCATTCCAGGCACTAAAAGGTGACTGGCAAACTCCCCCAGCACTCGGAAACTCCGATTATTCAAAGCATTTTCACCTATACGTCACGGAGAGATCAGGCTATGCAAGTGCAGTACCCAAGATACCCCAATAGGAAAACAATCACTGGCCAACTACAGCACTAAATTGGAGAATATTGAGTCAGGCTTGCCACCCTGTTATCAGGGGTTGGCAGCAGCAGCATTTGCATTTCAAAAAGCTTCAGTTTTAACTATGGATACTATGTATACATTTCACCAGTAAAATGCCCTGCTCACAAACCCACAATTTGTTATAACTCAGGCTAGGAAAACAGGGTATGAAGTTATACGTATGGCACCTGAACTCATTATCCGCCACAGGGAGCAGTAGAATGAGCTAATGGTACACTAAGTCGGCCAACTGTACTTTACTAGTTAAAGGTCCAGTGCCGCGGTTGCCGAATCTGAGTTTGCCAGTGAGGCTTAGTTAAAGTTAGTTACTGTACATTACTGCTGCGGTGAGGATTTGCCTACTTCTGCTTCTTCTTTTCCTTTCTTTTAAACTAATCCCCACACATGTACATATACACATATCGGTTGTGCTGTTATGCTTATCACAGAGGGAAGTGGCGTGTAAGCGTGGCCTCTATTGCTCCATTATGTTATCGCGGCTACGCCACCATTTTTTAGTTTTGCATGTGATTGTTTGTTGATTTTAGGTAGTATGTTTGTAATTGTATGTTAGTTGTTGATTTATAAAATGATTGACTTTGATCAGTATTGTAGAAGTAGATAAACTCTGTTATACTTTCAAGACCAGTTTTCTGATTATTTTGTGCGTGTGTATTTGTGATAATAGCTGGATATTGTGGCATGTGTTTGAATTCTAACCTCTGAATCTGGAATAGTACTTTGATGATTGACATTTTTGCGTGAACACCAATCTTGAGACTTAATCCATGATTTGGTTGTTGGTCCCTGATCCCAGGGTGGTGCCCTGTTATTATTAATAACCAAACATGCTCCTGCTAGGTCCCAACAATGTTAAAGTCTAATGTCTGGCTGATGTTTTTAAGCTATTCAAACGGCGTGCCTCTAGTGTTGGCATTATTTACCTGTTGGTCGATCAGTTGTAACACAACTTTGATCCAGACCGAAATACCTCAGCAACCACTGTCATGAAATTGTCCTGAGAGGACATTTGTGGTTCAGAATGAAAGATCTTGACAACGATTGAATACATTGCCTTGAAAGGTATATTGAAGACATTCTAATGATTTTAGTGATCCCCAGATTTTTCCTCTAGTGCGCAAAGCAGATAAAAATTG